GCCAAACAAGACTGTAAAGAATTCAAACAAAATCTAGCTTTTGACATCTACCTTTGTCACTTAAGACATGAATTAGAATATTTATTTAAACTCACAAACTCTAGTACATTCAGAATGAAAATGCAGATGTGCTCCATGTGCTGGACGTCACTCCTTAAAATCTTTGGCTCAGTTTTCACTTAATTGTACAGAAATGTGTGGTTTGAAATCCATTTAGGAGTAGGTTTTGAGAAAAGTTGATGGAATACATCACCCCTATCACCCTTATCTGCACTTCAAACTAAATAAAGGATGATTAAAGATCTGGATAATCAATTATCCCAAATAGGACCTGAGCATATGTCCTTTTCGAAGAAAAGGCCTTTAAAATAAGAAGTTTGAAAAATCAATGTCCCATTTTTTACACACCTGAGGTGTGTCAGGTTAGAAATGCCAGAAAAAAATACATATCTACACACCCTTGAGTTTGTAGCCCGTATTAACCATCCTCAGGAAAACCTCTCCATGTTGACCACCATGAACTGTTGCAAGAAAATGACCACTGGAAGTGTTACTATGGACCCGAAACCTCTCCTGATCATGATGTTAAATCTGTATCTGTGTTTTCCGATTTGAAACACGAAAAGGACGAATTAATAAGTTGAATTATTTGACAGACGGACAACCACAAAAGCCGTTAATCGTTTCCCCATAAAGCAACTGTACATTTGAAAGTTTCCAGCCTTGCTGTGACGTCTTAATGTTCACAGGCCGTGACTCACTCAAGTGAGAATTGCAGATTAATAAAAGGGGTGTCTTTTTTCCTTTAAATAGCAGCATCAAGGACACTTTCAACTACTAAAGCTCCGGATTCTGATCCCACAGACGTCGAGGAGCTGGTGGGCACGCTGCGGCAGCAGTCTGGTCTCCAGCTAATGAGGCTGATTTAAAACAGGCCCCAATTCCAATGACACTTGATGATTATACTCGGAGATGTTTTAGAAAAATCTGACTTCCTGGAAAGAAAATGATCTTTTTCGGTGAAATTGTTGTTAATGACCTGCCGCGGGCTTCAACATTCAAAGACTCGAGCTAGTGAGAACTCTGAATAACGAACCGTGCGGGCTGTCAAAGGTCTGAATAAGTTATTAAGCAGGAGATGAAGAGACATACATGATTTGATGAGCCACGCTCGAGTGATCTTCTTAAAACGAATTCAACGCATAAGAGCTTGGAGGTCAAATCTCTCTTCCCGACAGCAACAAATCTGAATTGGTTTTCCCTGAAATCTATCCAAGGACTTTGTTGTTTAGGAAAAACCTGAGCGCTCGCTATTGTGAGATCTCTTTAACGGAGGCTGTCACCAGCAGGCAGAGCGCTATCTATCTCTGACAGTCCGCCGCTAAACTGGCATAAATATCTGCCCCTCACAATGAGCCAATTATTCGCGTGGTGTCAGAGGATCTGCGAGGCTCAAAGTGAACGTTTGTTACTTTAGTCTCTCCGCTTTTTTTGCCCATGCATTATACAGCACTTTGCGCGTACTGGCAGGGAGCTGAGAGCATTGTGCCCGGAGATGGAGTCGTTCTCTCAGGCCGTAAAGACACTTTAATACTTTAATAAAACATACGGCAATATTTTGGGTTGTTGATAAATAATTCTAAGGGGGAAGTCTTCCTTGAGCCAAGTCAGGACGCGTATAGTAGCATCAACTATTCAGCCATATTTTGTACTTTATTTCTGTCCTTTTGTGGGTGGGGTACTAGCTTTTAACTCCTGGTGCCCTGATTGTGCAACTTCACTGATTTATGTTGTAGGACTTTTAAATACTATAACATTTTCTTAAGACTTTGAATGGTCCAACTGAACTATTTTCACTGGTTCTTGAACTCTGTTTTTTAATGAGTGGCTAAAAGACCGTTGTTATGTCATTTGACTCATTGACTGCCAGCCATATTCAGAGACCCATACTTTTTGGTTTTTGGAGCATTTTGACTGATTTTTCAAGAGCCACAGAATAGTTTGTGCTATGACTATGTAAACACCGAACACACCAAAAGAAAGAGTAGACTCTCTTCTTTCATCAGGAAATTTTTTTTTGTTTTTACCTTATTCCGTTCTTCCTCGACGTGTGTCTCACCGGCGACATGTTCTCTCATAGTGAACCATTGCGTTTTTTTTTATTTGCCTACAATCTATGCTCATCTCCCATCAAAAGTGGCACAGCTACCTAGAGGGTAAATTTGTTACTACATACTCTGTCTAGAAGCCGATATTTACGGACAAGCTTTAGCAGATCGTCCCCCAGACACTCGCTTTTGAAAAACATAAAAGACGTCTATAGACGTCTTTGGCAGCGAACGAGTTAAACTAACGACACAACACACCCTTCACCTGCCATGTTGATCACAAGATCAGACATATGAGTCCTTGAGAAACTCCATTGGAAGCAGGATCAAGGCTTCATTGCTTGTTATGGTTACTTGATTCCTAAGGCCACCTCCTTCATTCACAGATGGCCTTTGCAGTTTGACCTGGGTAGACCTCTCTTAACACCCGTCTGTAGACCGGTTCCATTTGAGCCGAAACAGGGCCCGTGTTTCCATCAGTGGAGTCCTTCCCCATCACGGCACACTTTAACTCGGCATTGGACACGCTGTCAGCAGTAAGGAGCTCTGAGCAGTCAGGGAGAGCATCCACAGAGCCAGCAGCCGACGGCCTGTCAGATGAGTTTCATGCTGAAGGCTAAATGAAGAACATCCAGAGCGAAGTTCAAGCAACCTTTAAGCCCACATCAAGAGGTTTTCATCTCGTAGAGGCTGTAGAAAACTAACTCGATCATAACACTCAAAAACAGACATTCAAACAACAACAGCATAATGGAAGACAATACACAAATTAAGTCAAAACTAGATTTTATTGTTGCCGTAATGAATTTATTTTACATAAAGCATCAATTGAAAACTGAACTGCAGGAAATTTCTATCAAATGGAAAGTAGAAAAACAGAGAGTCAGCCATTTTGGGTCAATTTGCAAACTGAAAAAAAAAAAAAAAAAGAATTTTCTAAGACACATAGCTTTGGATGTTTCAGGCTCTCTAAGTAACTTGTATTCTTTTGACATTGTCAGGGATTTTTTTGCTCTAAGGATTAATTCTCCTGAATAGTTTTTCCGCCTAAAGAGATTACACAGACGTGAGTCCTTCACAGGCTCCCGCCTCTAATTCAGGTGCAGCCATACGTTTTATTTTAAGGCGCCTTCACTCAACCTGGCTTGAAAGTTCCACTGATGAGGAGGTGTCAGCATTCAGTTTTTAAGTGCAAAAGTATGGAGCACAGAATTGCCAGATTAACCCAAAAATAATGCTGAATTATTGAAATATATAAAAAAATAATAGTAATTCAACTAAGTGGAATTAGTCAAGACATGCCCCTGAAGTCTTATATTTATTACAGTGATTTAAAATTCTTGTTTGTTCCTAGAATAGGATGTTTATTTTTCTGGGATCGTGTCTCTTGACTCAAAGTAAAAGGAAGGAGACCCGATCCAGGTTTTTAGCGATTGTTTTGTATGAAACAACAAATTTGAAGTGCAAAGTGTGTCCAATTGAGTGTGTCCAAAAGTGTGGTGATTCATAGGATTCAAAAACCTTTAGAAGAAAAACTGCTGCTAACAAAAGTCTCAACCTTATCACACTGGAATCATTCCATACTCAACTTGGTATTGATGCCGCCGATATTTGGATCAATACACTTTCCCCTTTGTGATGGGCATGGCCTTCTTATCCCTCTTTCCAGGTCCTCCAAATTCCTCATTCTACCCAAAAAAAGTTACATATCAGCATAATTGGTGATTCTATACCGACTTTAGGAGTGAGTGTGTGTCTTTTGTGTCATTTGTGTCATTGGTTAGTTGGTTTAAAATATTCAGAGGAAAGTTTGAGAGCCGTTAATGCAAACTTTGTTTTATAAAGGACCTCAGGGGATGTGACAATAAACAGGTTAATCGGAAATATTCTTTTGGAATTGCTCTAAAACATTTGTTATGTACAGTACATGGTCTCCAAGGACTTTGATATTTAAACGAGCTGCATTTTTCTTCACTCAATGCATCAGGTAGAAACAGTCACTGAGTTTTTTCTTTGCAGTCTGTATAAAAAAAAAGAAAAGTGTGGTACTTATAATTATTGTGATATTTAATTTGAAATTTCCCAATATCAAAGAAAAGGCAGCAAAAAACCCAAGGCGGTCATCACGTTGCTTTTGCATCTGCGGTGTTCCATTACTTTTTCCCTATGTTATGCGTTTACGCCCCCCCCCCCCGCCACCACCGGCTGTTTGTTCTGCTGTTGTCGCCGCGTTCATTCGTAAACAAATTGAATTTGTGTAACCTTGCTGGCGGGTAGGAGCCGTCTGAGTCCGGCTCCGGCTGGGGGGGGGGGAGGCCCGGTGGAAACACAGTTATTACCACCAGAAAGAGCGAACCCCGGCTTGTTTTTTGCTGTATGGATGATGAAGTTGATGTATGGGCCTCTTGCATGCGCCGTACAGCACAGTCTTTCTGCCAAATGATGAATAGCATCAATACTGCGGGCTATTGGAAACACAAGAGCTCATCTCATCTCACATTTTTGCCCGATTTCATATCAATTATTCGGCTTTTACTTCTGTCCTTGCATTCCGTTCTCTCCCTCCCCTTGTTCTTTCGTCAATAGACGGGCTCCTTCAGTAGAACTTTTAATGAGGCGAAAGGTATGCAAGACTGCACGGAAAATACTCGACAAAGCACTTTTGAAAGATTAAGCCCGACGAGGGGCGCAGCGGTGTCTCGCCGCCTTTGTCTTTGCTCCTTTTTTCTTTCTCTCCGCGTCCGTCCGGTCGAGCAATAGGCTGCGGAATTGAGCAACGCAATAGAGGGACGAGATTAGAATCGGATGTGAGCTGCACTGGAGATTGGTTTGTGGACCGAAAATGCCCGAAAATGGAAGCAGGGAGAAGAGTTTGGGGGGGACAGACGAACAATGAGAGAAGGTCACAGTTAACGAGTTTATGCGGGGATAGTGGGGTTTGGAGAATAAAAACTGAGTAGCGAGGATTCGCTCTCATATTTGCATGGAAAGTAACTACGTAATGGCTTTATTCTCTTCCCACCACATCACTTATTTAGCCGTATAATGGCATCCAGAGGAAGCCTTGAAAGCCAACTCACACCATGTTTTACGTCCACCATTAAAGCACTCAGGTTGTTATGTGACTTTCATCCCACGTTTAACGTCATTAGTCACCTTTAAGTGAATTTAATGAGAAATTACCTGTTACAGGAGCCAAAACAGGTTTTGCCACTGAACAAGGAGCCCATTAATCCCTCCTAATGACTTTTGATAATCATCTGAGACCCAAACCTGCGTACTATGCATGGATGTGTTCAGTTGCACAACCATGATGCTCATATTGCTGAACAGTTATTTGGATTATATTGAATTGAATTGTCCAGACATAATGTTTGAGCATCAATTTGTATAAACTGTTTCAATAGAGAATAGTCATCAACAACTGTTCTATTTTCTAGTGTTTGGTATCACATGATTTCTAAGCAGAGTTGTGGGTCGATAGTTTGTTGCTTTAGGTGTCACTTTCCATAAAAACTTCCTAGTTGTCTGCTTCCCTTTGCCTCAGCGGGAGATGCCGTTTGGGTCTTAGTTCTCGCGGAGCAACTATTGATTCTTGCATTTATTTCCAACTATTCTTTCCTGTTTTTTGTCTTCCTCACAGTGGCAAACATTTTGTGGCGGGAAGAAGGTGAGTCCGTACCTCTTTTTCAATCTTTGTGTTAGTTGTGTGAGGAAGTTACTGAACTGTGATGGGAGGGATTAAATCATTTTTTGCTCTAACAGTAGATAGCAGTGGTAATGATTCTTTTTTTTTTGTTCTAATTCTTCATTTTCTGATGAATGGCCTGTTTTATGCTACCTTCCTGCAGGTCTCGGCATTGGAAACATGTTCTACGTGTTCTATGAGGACGGGATTAAAGTTATTCAGCCGGTGGCATGTGAAATACAACGACATATTAAGCCCAGTGAGAAGCTGCTTGGGCTGCAGGTGAGTGCTCAGAATTTTTTATGATTTAAGTTTTTAATATCTTTGAGAGTTAAAACATGTAACAATCATCAGGTATTATTGATATCAAACAGCTCCTATCTCACTATATATATTGCTGAAGTGATTACAGTTTCTTTCTTTATCATAAATCCAAACTGGACAGTCTTTAAATATTTTTTTATTATTTTCCTTGTCCATAAATTACTTGAAACATTTTTATTCAAACTGTGGAGTCGTTCTTCAACAAGATAAACAATCATTAATAACAATGGAATGATAATAAAAACGGGCCCACTGAATTGGTGTCATTTAACTACACTTTTTGTGCTTGTTCCCACATAATTTGGTACTAAAATCCTGAATTTACACATGGCAAGTTAATGTAAATATGAAAAATAAGCAGAACTAGTTTAATTTAAAAAAGTCCAATAACTTGCTTTACAGTCATACATTCTTCTTTTACCCAAACTTTATTTATTCCTGCTCAATAAAACAAACACAATGAAGAGAAGCATAAAAATATTCTTATAGTTAGTGTTTAGGATGAATCAAAACCAAATGGGACAGAAATAGATGTATGTTTTGTAAGACAACACTTTAACAGCTGGTAGTGTTAAAGTTGAACGCTCTTTAACTTTTGGTTGAGATATTTTTGTATTTTAGCTTTTCTCTGCTGTAGCTCCACTTCTACATTCCGTCGGTGTAGAAATCACAGCTCAGACGTGATGAACATAAATCTGTTACATATTTCCTCCAGCACCTGCATGATGAATAGAAGTGTCAATCTACTCTTTCAGTTACTCATCAAAAACGGAATAAAGTGTTATTGTTTTCTTTCCCGTCTCGTTTTCGAGCTAATGGATCGAGAGCTATGCTTCACTGATAATTTGACGTTTTTCAACGAAACCGCAAAGAGGAAAATGTGTCAACACCAGGAGAAGATGACACAAAATTGCTGTAATATATACAGGAACAAGATTTTATTTCAATTTCCGAGTAAAATGAGGGAATGGATATATTTCATTTCGTGAACATGAACACAATGATCACTGCATCATGAGCCCTCAACCCTTTAATATCCTGCTTTAGGATTTTCTTCACCATATTTTTGACTGAAGAGACTCTGTCTCATCAAAGATTAGTGGAGGTGAACTAATTAAACATAAACTGTCACCCCATACACTTAAGACTTAGCGATGATTTGGACTATTATTAGTCCAAGACGAAAAGAAGCATTTTTTTCATTGCTCTTTTCTCAGAAAAAAATAAACAAATAGTTTTATCTACTAAGTGGGTCATACCAAGCCTTAAATATGTGGGGAAACCCTGGCAGAATGAGCCTCAAACAGGAATAACTCAAATTATTTCTGTGTATTCTCGGCTTCTTTTCCTTTTCAATCAACATTTCAAAGTGCAGTTTAAATGCAGAATCTCATTAACTTTGTTCATAACTTTCACCAGAAAACAATGACCAGTTGACATGTAATCCACATTACAGACATGAGCCAGCTGCTTTAATTGAATTATTGGACAGACTATGCCTGGTTATAGTCATTTTTACCTCTTCAGACTTTTCAAAGCCGTCATCCCAGTAAGTCACAGCTTATCTTGGTGAATCTCCAACAGAAAAAACAATCAGAGCATCAAACTGATAGATACCTGTTAGGGTTTACACATGTTCTCAGATAGATGTTTCCCTCTGGGCCGCCTTACATCGGGTAGCCTTGTGCTGATTGGATGGCTGTTGTACACGAGGTGAGGCCATGAATGCACAACAATCAGCCAAGTGAGTCCTCTGAGAGGTGTTTGTATTAGGATATCAATCACTGTGAGTGCCCTGATGCCAGCTCCCGCTCCATCTCAGCGGATTGCGGCGTGAACACAAGGTTCTCACGTTTTCTCCATCAAAGAAGAGCATTGGCTGATTTGTTTATGGTAATCAAACAGCCCGTTCATTACCCTATCGCAATCCATGGAGGGCCCGGCCGGGATACACACAGTTAGCGGGAAAACACCTTGAAATCTACGCGTTGCCAAACCAGGAATTGTTTGGTCTGTTGCCACAACAAGGGAAATCCCGAGCAGCCATGTTGGCGTCTTAGTCCCAGAATCCCAGCTTTAGCGAGCACCATCAACACTTCATTTGCATTAGTCTGTGTTTTCTATGATGTTCACAGAAGAGTCGCTTTGGTCTGGGCTGAGGAACTCTAAACTCGTAGAGCTGTCATGAGCAGGAATGCTGGCTCAGCAGGAATGGAACTTTTTGAAGGCGAGGCTGAAATGTGTTCAGCCTCTGAAAAATTCAGGCGGACAAAACGAACCGTCTCTGCATTTGGTGAATAACCGTGTCAAACGTGACACTAAAAAGCTTAATTTTCAGCAAGTAGCGACATGACAGCGCTGATACTTTATTGTTCAGTTTTCCCCTTCTCATGCTTCTTGTTTTCGCCTGGGTGTTTTTGACAGTTTTCCTCTCCATAAATGTACCACCAAAACAAATCATCCAGGAGCTTAACTGTGGAATATTGCAACCCTCATTCCTTAAAGTATCTCTTTATACGTCATCATCCAAACTTACCAATGTGAAGAGTAGAAATCCTTCATATATAATATCTATTTCCTTTACAGCATGCATTGAAATCAGAGCTGCATGTCATCTGCAGGATTTTAGAAGATCCATGAAAAAAAACATACGGTTTATTTTATGTAAATCCAGCCCAGTCCAATGGAACTAAAGGGAAAAACATCATTTAGAAGCTGTCAGATACTTAAATCACATACGTGAAATGCACCCACACGCACTGACACACAACACTGGGAGGATTACAGCCGCCTCCGTTCACACCCTCAGCTGGGCATCAGATGTTCGATTTCTCGCCTCGTAAGGGCGCAATAAGCAAAAAGATATTTCCAGCCCACAGCACCGAATGACCAGTGCGGGTCTGCAGGGAGGATTCCGGGGTTCGACACCAGTGACTCAACAATTACTGTACTTCAGCCAGTGCAGAGATTTGACTTTTAAAACCGACTTCTCCAACCTGCTTTGGATGAAAAACACTGACAGATGGTGCTACACCTGGTCCCTGTGGGACATTATAGTTCATGGAATTGGAAAATCTCGCAATGAAGCCAAAGCAATCAAAAGTACTGTGACAACTCTGGCTTCGGCTTGTTGAAATGACCTATTAGCTGGATGTTTTGTACCGTGTCAGTTTCAATTACCGTATTTTCACAACCATAAGGCTCACCGTACAAAAAGGCGCAGTCTCAGTTATGTGTGCCATTGCTGTATTTAAAACACACATAAGGCGCGCCGCACCACAGGGCGCGGGTTTTATATACTGGTACATATGCTCTACTACGTTTAAATACCTCTACTGCGTAGTTAAAAATAGATCGGGAGCAAAACTGAGTTTGTTTGTGCTTTATTCATTTATTTATTACAAAAGTATTAATCAAACCCATCAAAGTCCTCATCCTCTGTTTCTGAATTAAACAGCTGCGCTAACGCAGACATGCCAGTTCCCCCTTCTTCGCTGTCAGAGTCACTTTCCGTGCCGTGAGGCTCTTCGGAAATTATGCCGGCTTTTGCGAATGCTCGAACAACAGTGCCAGCAGACACGTTAGCCCAAGCATCAACAATCCATCTGCAAACTGTTGCGTAACTTGCCCGGCGCTGCCTTCCACTTTTCGTGAAACTGTGCTCTCCTTCGGTCATCCATCGCTCCCACGCCGCTCGCAGCCTTACTTTAAACGGCCGGTTCACACCGATGTCCAGCGGTTGAAGTTCCTTTGTCAGACCTCCCGGAATAACAGCAAGCACTGCGTTCATTTGTTTCACTTTTTTTTTCACATCGGCTGTGAGATGGGCACGCATGGAGTCACAGACTAAGAGGGATGGTGATGCGTGGAAAAACCCACCTGGTCTCCTTACATACACCTCGCTCAGCCACTCTTTCATCATTTCCTCATCCATCCAGCCCTTTTCATTTGCCTTAATAACGACTCCAGCTGGAAAAGTCTCTTTAGGCAAAGTCTTTCTCTTGAAAATGACCATAGGCGGCAGTTTCTGTCCGTTAGCATGGCAGCCAAGCACAACGGTAAACGAAGCCTTTTCATACCCCGTTGTTTGTATCGATACAGTTCTGGTTCCCTTCTTCTCCACCGTGTGATTCACCGGGATGTCGAAAGTGAGCGGCACCTCGTCCATGTTGGTGATGTGGCTTGGCTGGATGCGTTTGTCCGAGATGTGTTTGCTGCAGAATGAGTGGAAGCTCACCATCTTTTCATTAAAATCCGCCGGACGTCGCTGCGCTACTGTAGTCCTGGTCCGGATGGAAAAATGGCACCGTTTCATAAAACGGAAGCACCACGACGGACCTCCTTGAAAATGTTCAATTTTCATTTCCTCCGCTAGCGCTACTGCTTTTAGTCGAATGGTGACCGTCGAAACGCTCCCCCCACTCGCTCTTTTCTCGATGATCCACTGCTCGAGTCTTTCCTCCAACTCGGGCCACCTTGCCTTATGTCCGCGGAAACTCAGCTGTGTCTTCTTCACCTGTCGGAGTTCGTTTTCCATCTTCCTCCACTTGCGAACCATCGACTCATTAATTTTGAGTTCTCTCGCGGCTGCTCTATTTCCGTGTTCCTCCGCATAGCTGATAGCCTTCAGTTTAAACTGAGCTTCATAGGCGTGTCTCTTTGCCATTCTCAGGGTTGTTAAGACAACAGGTATCTGCATAATGAACATACCTGTACATACCTGTTGTTTTATACACAATCCACGCCCACACTTCCCCTTTAACGTTCTCATGGTGGGTGGCCTCAACAA